TGAGCAGTACTGCAGTGACAGGCCTGGGGGAAGAGAGGAGGGTACCCACCAACCCAAACTGATCCTCCAGGTTGCAGGTGGGGGGCAGAGACCCCCACCCCTGGGTCCCAACCCTGTTTTCCCCCGTGTTCCCCTGCCCCTGGTACCCCCAGCCCCACGTCCCTGGTGTCTCCAAGTGCCTGCAGACCTGTACCCCTTCGGTCTCCTGCACTCCCAGCCCTTTGGCCTCCATCATCCCTCACGGGTGTCTCCCAGCCATGTGCCCTCAGTGGGTCCTCCAGCCCTGTCCCCCCAGTACCCCCTTACCCTGCACCCTTAGTGCCCCCAGGCCTGCAGCCCCCATCTTCCCCCAGCCTTGTGCACCCAGACCCCCAGCCCGGGACTCCCAGTGGTGTGTCCCCCAGCCCTTTACTCCCAATGTCCCCTCATCCTATGCCCCTAATGCCCCCAACCCCTTACCCCCACCTCAGTACCCCATTCTCCCAGTGTCCTGCCATCCTGTGTCTCCCTGCCCCGTGGCCCCAGCTCTGTGCCCCCCTGCCCTGCTCACCGGTGCCCGCAGGCTGGCTGGAGGGCAGTGTGCTCCGTCTCCCAGTGTCACCAGGGTCCAGCTCGGCCACGTAGGTAGCAGGGACGAAGAAGGGTCGAGCCCAGCGGGGCTCGCTGGCCCGTCTCACCTGCCACCAGTCCTCATTGGCTTTGTGGAGCAGCAGGAACTGCTCACCAGCAGCCATGGCCACATGCCGCCCGTCCTCAGCACGGTATGTGTAGTTGTAGAGGGCGCGGAGCATCACAGCTGGTTCAGCGCGCTGCCACCGCCGCCCCTCCAGCCGCCACCGCCCTGCCAGCATCCTCGCCCCGCTCAGGGTGCCTGGGCACACTACAGCCTGGCCCTCAGCATCTGCAGGGCACAGGGCTGGGGGTCAGGGTGGACGTGCCCTGTGCCCCATGGCTGGCCTGGCCCCGGGCTGTGGTGGAAGGGGCTTAGCAGTGCCACGGGTAGCAGCAGAGACCCTGCCTGCAGCGCCAGGACTCACCGGACAATGTTGTGCCCCATGGCCAGGCTGTGTCCCATGGCCAGGCTGTACCTTACAACCACGTGTGCCATGGCCAGGATGTGCCCCCTCAGCCAGGCTGTGCGCCATGGCAATGCCCCCTGGCCAGGCTGTGCCCATATCCCAGGCTGTGCCCCCCAGACAGAATGTGCCACGTGGCTGTGGCCCCAACCACGGCAATGCCCTACGGCAATCCTGTCCACAAGCAGTGGAGGAACCATGTGCTGCCTCATTTCCTGGTGCCAGGGGAGCCAATGCCTGGCCCCGGGCTATGGGGGACTGGGGGGACCAGAGGGACTGGGGGTGCTGGGGCAGCCAGGGCTCAGGGACCTGCAGGAAACCCAGCAGCTGCTGCAGCAGGAAGCAGCGAGGCTGCGGCTTCCTCGCACCACACGGCATGGGGCTGGGGGGTGCTGCTGAGGGGCATCAGCTCCCTGTCCCCATGGCCTCCGGTCCCCTGGTCCTCATCCCATGGCCCTGCAGCTCCCCCAGCCCCCGGTCCCATCCCACAGTCCTATAGCCCTGTGGCTCCCAACCCCTTGGTCCCTGTCCTAAGGCCCCCCCAGCCTCCTACCCCATATTCCCCAGTCCCCAGCCCCACAGCCCTCGGCTTCCAGAGCTGCAGCCCTCCC